GTGTGTAATGATGGGTTTTGAGTGTGTTTATAAAGTGTTTTGGGTGTTGAGTTTTTTTATAATTTCAGCCCCCATTTTAGGTGTTTTAGTAAAACCCCCATATTTTTTCATGTATGATATGAATGCATAAAGGGGCCTAAGGTTGTTTTTAATTTGGGAAATTTTGATTTTTTTTTTCCTTTCTGTTGGATTTAATGGGGAAAAAGCTTTAAAAATATTTTCTAAATCCCTACTCTTTGTCTATCTCTTGCAATTTTTCTTGCTTAGAATGTATTTGTCTATCCCTTTGTCGAGAACAATTATGATTGCAACCAATAAGCGATATAATTCTTGACATATGTGATATATATACACTATTTTTTGTATGTATTATGAGTTCGAATTTTTGATTCTTTATATTTTGTAAGAGGCCCCCACACACATGAAATCCTGGCTTCGCCACTGACTATAAATATGCTATGAACTGGAAGAGATTTTCCTATTTTTATTCTCATCATGTCGGTGAAAACCAAAACTTTGATAACTAATTATTAAGTAAGAGGGTATGAATTGTTACCTCCTAAAGCATCAAGAAGAGTAGACTTCCCACAGCCAGAAGGACCCATTATAGCCAATAGCTCCCCAGGCCTGGCATAACCAGTTACACCTTGGAGGATTGATCTTGATCTGCTACCATTTTCATTCTTTGCCTTAGAAACCACAGTCACCCACAAATCCTCCCACGTCAAGAAAACACCCTCTTCTAACTTTGGATGGTTTTCATTCCGGTTTCGGTTTCGAGCAGCACCCTGCCCTGACCTAGTTACAGTTGTAGTTCTAGGCAGTGGATCATTATGGCCTACCTTTTCAACATCCAGTACTGCTGTTCTAATACCAGCTGATTCATTACTATAACTATATTCATGTAGCGAGGTAGAAGAAGCCATATAGCTAGGAATTCAATTTCACAGAGAGAGAGAGAGAGAGAGGTTTGGTTTAGTTTCTTGTTGGTGAAGTGCTTAAGGAGGATCGAGGCCGGGTATTTAAAGAAGCTTAAAGAGCAATTAAACGTGATTTATATTTTTGTCACCTTTTGGGAAATAATCAATGCAAAGCAAATCAGATCTTTCTAGTGCTAATTTTTTTTTTTTTTAAATCAAATAAAAACTTCATTAGATAGACTTCAACGGTACAATCAAATACATCAACAAGACATCTAAAATATCAATCCCAAGAGAGCAACAAATAAACATGCTACAAACACAACTAACGCAGACAAAAGTCGCACTAAAAACAATTGTGTTCTTTCTAGTGCTAATGTTTATACGATTACATATTACTAATAAATGCAAAAGGACAAGGGTAGTTCGTAGACTAACAACTTCCGCTCGTTGCCTAGTACGACACCTAAATTGAGAAGAACTCAACCATTTTTTAATGCACAACTTTCATCATTCAACTTAAATTTAAAAAAAGAAAAAGAAAATGCAAAGCACTAGGAGTTCATCTTTTTAATATAAAATAAATGATTAGTCTAATTAGTTAGTTGTATATCTTTTTTATTATCATAACAATATGAGGTACGCATTATAAAAATATAAAGTTATTATTTGAGAATCATTTTGAGAGTGATTTTAGGTAGACCAATAATCACTTTTATGAAAAACACTTCGTCATATGGAAGGATATGCTTTTTCCTATAAGTAAAACAAATAACAGTTTTCTCATCCCACAGAGTTGCACATTATAATTGTAGGGGACCAACACAGAAAACTTATACTCATCTGTCTTTCTTGCGCTACAATACAATGGCCTCCTCGCACATTTTAAACCTTGCAAACTTTTGACTGACTCACCTGAGGACAATCAAAATAAACAAAATTTCTGCACCTCTTCACGGACACCACACAAGTATCAATCAGTCATAATCCACCCTCACATCTTCATGGACAACTATAATGTCGGCTCACACTAACTGCCACCATATAAACAGGTTTTCAGCACAATGTGTGGTAGGAGTTAGATAGCCATGATTTTTTTCTTGGCCCTGCAAGTTCAATGTACGCCTTATTAGGAAAGATGACACCTCGTGGGCGGCTGCCTAGGGCCACTAAATTGGAGGAACTCTAACTTTTATATATATATATATATAAATCAAAAGGCAAAGAATAGTGAATCATCCAAAATACCAAAAAATGCCTTTGGTTAATGCACATTAAGAATTGAAATTATTAATTAAATTAGGATAATATGGTAAATTCACACTTTTTTATTTTAAAAAAATTAAAATTAAAAGAAAAATCATATAATGGATCCTATTTTTATGGAACACAATTACCCATTATCTTTTTTAATTCTAAAAAAAAAATAAAAAATAAAACGCATGTGGGAAGGGGCTAGCATATATAAAGCAAAAGACAGATAATTGTGAAACATTCAAAATATCAAAAAATGTCATTGGTTATACAAACATTAAAAATTGAAATTATTAATTAAATAAAGATAATATGGTAAATTCACACATTTTCCTATTAAAAGAAAAATCAGATAATGGATCCTATTTTTATGGAACACAACTACCTATTGTCTTTTTTAATTCTAAAATAAAATTTTAATTTTTTTTATAAAAAAAGCCTCTCGCAGGCGCGGAATCGCGTGCGGAGAGGCTAGTGAACTCTATAAGTATACTATATTACTCACGCAAATAAAAAGAGACTCAGCTAATAGGCCTAGTCGAGTAGAAAAGAGCCTTGAATTACATATTAGTGATATGAAGTTCGAATTCCCATATACCTTGGTAGTATGTGTGAAAACCCCACCCCCCACCCCCTCCTAACTTTGGCCAAAAAAAAGGCCCAAATATTCATTAAATTTATAGTGTAAGTGAATTAACCTAGTACATTTAAGAAATAAAACACATCTATGTCAATTCTAATATCTGAACTCTTCAACGACAAACACTTATTGGCTTCACCAATTTTTTCTCAATGATTCAATGAACACTGAAGTCCTAATGGTTTAACATGTATGATGATTGACTATTTAAAAAAAACATCAAAAAAACATATTCATTATGATGTTTTTTTTTCTCTCTTTTATTAATTTTATGCATATGAAGAACAGGGATTTAGGTAACTAAGTATGTTGTACTAGAATTTGATATATTTGATAAATAATTTGACTAAAAGTTTGCCCTTTCTTGTCGTTTGTCGTTGTTTTTTTTTTCAAATCTTAGAATCTTCATTTTGAGGCAGGGGCGGAGCTACAGACATGAGATGGCCGGCCCCCTACCATATAGAGAGTATAGGCATAGATTGTACAAAAAATCTCATAATTTTAAGCTGGTGGCCCCTTACAAAGCATCAAACTCTACCTCCGCCACTAATTTGAGGTTGTATACTATTTTTTTCAAAGTAAGAACATAGAAAAGAATAAAATACATGAGGGTCGTACAAAGAGGATCAACAAATTTTGGGGTTTGCCAAGGATTTCAACTCCGTAGGGCCACCCCTGCTTGAACATAAAAGAAATCACATTTCTTACGCAAGCGATGTGGGACTATATATATCCGTCATGTCCAATGTGTAACACACCACGTCATGTTCAACGTGCAACACACCACGTGTCAATGTGTTAGGTCTCTCATAATAAATAGGTGAATGAATGCCTTGGTCGTACCATGTCCTTTGTGTTACAAATCTTACAAAAATGTCTGTACCATTTGTACAAATTAAGAAACCGTAGTTATATGTATGATCAATTTATACAATTCTACTTATGTATAAGAATCATTAATGTTTTTGATAAGATTGTTTTAAACTCTTTTGGTTTTTTAGACACCGAAGGAAAGCCAACATAGTCTAGCCTAATGGAAAAGGAGTCTTAACTTGCAGACCAGAAGTCTCAAGTTTGAATCTCCATGGCATCATAATTGTGTGTAGGTAAGAAATCTCTCCTCCCATAGTTTATACTATCACTTTTACTAAAAATAAATAAAAAATAAAAAACATTGAAGGAAATCAACAAACATCTTTTGCCCATTTGTCTAAAATTAAGGGACCTTGTTCCCAAGGCATCATGTAATTAATTTTTACCTTAGTTGTTGTTGAAGAATACACGAGTCCCACATTGAAAATTTAACAAAATAGAAATTCTCATATAATAAATGATTTCACTCCTAATAACATCGATGTAACGACCCGGTCCTAAATAAATGTTTAATTATTAAGTAAACATCATAAAAGACCATTTTGTCCATAGAATATTATATTAGTTTTAAAGTTGACTTTTTGATTGGGAAGAAATTTGAGAATTTTGACTGTACCGTTACATAGAGCACGGCGAGATGAGTTCATAGACACGTGGTGGGCTCGAATCAGAGTTGTAACGAGAGAGATACGATCAAAATACCCTTAGTGGCATAACCGTAATTTTGGAAGTGTGTGATAAAAACTGTTTTTCTCGCTCTCTCTCTCTCTCTCTCTCTCTCTCTCTCTCTCTCTCTCTCCTCGCGACGGCAGCTCTCTCTCTCTCTCTTTTCGAATCTCAGGCCACTGGCCACGGCTGCAGACGGGACCGGTGCCAAAAGGACCGGCTCAGCCCCGACTTCAAGACCCGGCCCTTCCCCGACATAGGCCGCCACTCCAGCCGTAAGAAAATGTGGTTTTTAGGCCGGTTTTTCGCTCGAAACTTCGCCGGCTCCGATCTCCCTCCTCCAGCAGCCATTTTTGGCGATCTAGGTATGAAAATTCATCCATTCTTCATAATCTAGCTGATGGTTGGGTAGGATTTCATTAATTTTGAGCCTAGATTGTCTGATTTTGAAATTGGATTTCGGCCGGTTTTGGGATCATGATTTCGGCCACTTCCGGTCAGTTTTTGAGGTATGTCTAAGAACAAAAGTAGTTCCAAATAGAGTGTTATACCTAGGGTAGGAGTCTTGAGCCACGATTTTGAGATTTTCCAGCAAAGTGTAATTGCTTTGGACATCCACGCGCTGCTGGCGTGTGCGGCAGCGCGTGGGCACTGTAGAAAATGGGCATTGTGTTCCAATACGGTCCTCTTGTTGTCTCGAGCGCTTAGGTGTGCTCGGATTTCAATTTGGATACCGTCTGAGTCTCAAACAGATATCGCATATTGTGCGTTATCCTGGTTTGATGGGTTTGAACTGTTGGACAGTCTTGAATTTATTATATGTTAACCTGGACATCCCTAGGATTGTGTAGGATTCGACAGATCGTAAAACGGAGTCCTGAATACTCCGGAAATGCCAACCCTAGGGATAGGGTTAAAGTAACCGTCTGATCGTGCGATTGTGAGCGATCCAACCGTCTAATTCGAATCAAACTTGCAGGACGTTTATCCTAAACCTTGTGGAACCCATAAGAACTTTCGGATAGTAAAACGGAGGTCGTGGGCCCTGTGGGCCCGTTTGACCAAATTTGACTAGTTTGACCCTTGGTTGACCGTGAGTCTTCCGAGGTAGTTTTATCTTCCTAGGAGGATTATAATGTCCCTAGTGACAGGTCTTGGACGTTGTTGAGTTATGTTGATTATGTGAGATTAGGATATTAATTTATTATTTTAAATTAGGGGATTATCGGATGCTATATTGTGGTTGAGGTTTATGCTATTTTGGAAATTAATATATATATATATAATATTAAAGATATAAAGAAGTTGATTACACTGTAAGTACTATCCTGTGATTGTTAGGTCCCACGTGGCGTATGATTTTCCGGCGTGATGACAGACCCCATACGTGGCGTTGGATGTTCCGGCGTATGGGGAGATTATGTAATATGAGATGATAGGTCACACATGGTGTAGGATTTTCCAGCGTGTTGACAGACCCCATATGTGGCGTTGGATGTTCCGGCGTATGGGGAGATTATGTGATTGTTAGGTCCCACATAGCATAGGATTTTCCGGCGTGTTGACAGACCCCATATGTGGCGTTGGATGTTCCGGCGTATAGGGAGATTATGTGATTGTTAGGTCCCACGTGGCGTAGGATTTTTCGGCGTGAGGACAAACCCCATACGTGGCATTGGATCTTCCGGCGTATGGGGAGATTATGTAATATGATATTATAGGACACACGTGGCGTAGGATTTTCCGACATGTTGACAGACCCTATATGTGGCGTTGGATGTTCCGGCGTATGGGGAGTGTGGTAACCAAATTAAATCAAAACCTTAGGTCAAATAATTCATTCGATTTGGGGATTATTTGACCTAATTGCGAATTAATCAACCTGATTGGGAGTTACTCAATTTAATTGGGGATTACCCAATTAAATTGAACGATACCTAATTGGGTTGAGAATTGATTTGATTAATTATCACGATTCCCAATTAAATGAGGAGTTACCTAATTGAATTAGCATTTGATTTGATACCTACCACAATTAGGGATTTGATTTACCCTAATAAATCAAATCCCTTATTAATTAAATCAATTCCAAAAAGGGGAGGAATAATTCCCTTCCATCTACGGAATTATTCCTCTGAAATCCTAGCATCCGAGACCACTATCAAATCATAGCCACACACAAGGGTTGGGGTACGTCTGAAATCTCTACTGAAACTCTGCAGAAAATTCCTCTCAAACCCTAGCCACCTCCTTTCTTTCTCTCTTTTACATAAGGCTCCGGTCGCCCGGTTTACACTACAAACACATCTTCGTACCCTAATTAGCTAGTATTTTTCTTATAAACTCTTGAACTAATTTACGCATCAGACGGCCTTTGGCCAACACCCTCTGGGTGTGGCCCTCTCATTTATTCTATTTTGCAGGAAGAAAGAGGAGGCGAAGAAGGAAGAGGAATCTTTGCAACCGAATATTCTCGTGAGGAAATTTGCTCACACAAATTGGTGCTTTCATTGAGAGCACGAGTTATACTCAACGCGTGCTCAAGAAATCCGTTCCTCCTATTTTCCAATCCACCGAAGCCTTCCAAACAACCATGGTTGGAAGCAAGAAGACAAGAGGCAAATCCGCCATGACAGCTAAATCCACGACGGCCCAAAGCCACTCCACCCACAATCCCGCGATCTACATGGTGGCACCACCACCTCTCACCACCGCACCGGCCACCGCCACTGAACATGGTGGAACCTCCCATCAAGGTGGGCTCGTTACCACCACCGACTTAAGTCCAGTCTTGGAGCAACTTCAAGCGTTCCCTCCCTTACCTCCACGCGCCCGTGTGCAATTGGGCTCCACGCACTTCTCTCCTTCCAATCCACGAAGTCAAGCAGACCTTAGTCTGAGAGTTGACCAGCTAGCTCAGAGAATGGATGACCAAAGCAATATGATAAGGCAACTCCTCAACCAAATGAGCTTGGCTCAAAACCTTGGCTTTGGACAACCGGGTGAAAAGAGAAGGATGGATGAATGCACCGGTAGACAGTTTGACGGGTACCAAGCAGGTCAAGCAGGAGTGAGCAGACAAGGCGAGGGACAACAACTTGATTGGCCTGCTGACATGTCGCAAGCAGCTGCAAGCCACACTCATAGCAGATCAAGCTTAAGGAACAACGTGCTCGAAAGATTGGGCCCACGACTTGACATCCGCGCTCGCCTGGGCCTGCATGGAAACATACATCAAAGGCTAGGCCCCCAGGGAGCTCAGCTAGACAACCATCGCAATGAAGATCATGAAGAAAGACGCTCAGCTGTCCACTCTCAGAGGAGCATTCACGAAAGGCTAACAATGCGGACCATAAGGACAGGCGGTCTGCTACTCACTCTCGGAGAGTTGATTCTCGTCGGCAAGCTATAGAAAATCTTTTACAAGCGCAGTCCACCAACACGCCGCCTAGGCAGCGCAGGCGAGAAGGTCAACCCTCGTAGACCAACAAGGAGGTCAATCAGCGTTGCCAACAAGACCAACCAGCAACATGTGCGAAGGACGTAGAGAAGCGTGTGAATGGTTACTTCGAGACTTGAGGACCGGCGGGTATTTCGAAGATGTACTACATAAGGAAATCGACCAGGCAAACTCCACACCTTTCACTACCAAAATCGAGCAGGCTGCTCACCCGAAGCGATTCTCAACGCCTTCGTTTACACACTTCAAAGGGGATTCCGATCTCGAGAGCCACCTAAAACACTTTAAAAGTGTCATGATCCTCCACAAGACCGACGACGCGCTGATGTGCAAAGCATTTGTAATGACCTTGCGAGGACCAGTACAACTTGCGCAGGAAGTTTGACGAATCTCTTCGAGATTACATCAAGAGATTTAAAGCAAAAAAAGTCAACATTGCAGGATGTGATGACCGAATCTCATCATCTGCCTTCAAGAAAGGTCTTCCAGCTGAACACGACTTGTACCGCGAGCTGACTATCACTTCCAGCCAGACTCTGGCAGAGGTTTACGCGACTGTGGAATGCTACGCGCTCTGGGATGACGATCGAATCGCCGCAAAGAAGTGTACAAAGCAGGAAGATCAGTCGACTAAACGGGCAAGCCAAAAAAGCGATGGATTTAGCAACAAGAACAAGGACAAGCACAGGTCACACCCACAAAAGAACGCTAAGGCAGGAGAGGACTACACCAAGTTCACCATCCTCATACACCAAATCTTAGCCTAAGTGAAAGACAAACCTTAGGTTAAGAAGGCCGCAACCCTTGAAAGGAGATCCGGACAAGAGGGATATTAGCAAATACTGTGCCTTCCATGGGACGCACGGACACACTACGAACAACTCTTCGCTTGGAAAATGCACTTTGAAGAACTTGTGAGAGAAGGTCACTGCACAGAATTCATCGCAAAGCAGGTCATCCAGCATATTGAAAATAGAGACACCGCCAAGGAACCGCCCCAGAAGGTCATAAGGATTAACACAATCCTAGCTCACACCAAGGAGTCAGGACTGGCCAGCAAGGAAAAGAAGAGGAAGATCAAACATGCCACCATGATCTCCCAAGTCTCGACTGACTTTCCACCAGCAGAAGATGATCCTGTAATCGGCTTTCAAAAGAAAGATCTGATCGGTCTCGATGTGCCACATAATGACGCCCTTGGACCCTCCCATCAAGGTGGGCTCGTTACCACCACCGACTTAAGTCCAGTCTTGGAGCAACTTCAAGCGTTCCCTCCCTTACCTCCACGCGCCCGTGTGCAATTGGGCTCCACGCACTTCTCTCCTTCCAATCCACGAAGTCAAGCAGACCTTAGTCTGAGAGTTGACCAGCTAGCTCAGAGAATGGATGACCAAAGCAATATGATAAGGCAACTCCTCAACCAAATGAGCTTGGCTCAAAACCTTGGCTTTGGACAACCGGGTGAAAAGAGAAGGATGGATGAATGCACCGGTAGACAGTTTGACGGGTACCAAGCAGGTCAAGCAGGAGTGAGCAGACAAGGCGAGGGACAACAACTTGATTGGCCTGCTGACATGTCGCAAGCAGCTGCAAGCCACACTCATAGCAGATCAAGCTTAAGGAACAACGTGCTCGAAAGATTGGGCCCACGACTTGACATCCGCGCTCGCCTGGGCCTGCATGGAAACATACATCAAAGGCTAGGCCCCCAGGGAGCTCAGCTAGACAACCATCGCAATGAAGATCATGAAGAAAGACGCTCAGCTGTCCACTCTCAGAGGAGCATTCACGAAAGGCTAACAATGCGGACCATAAGGACAGGCGGTCTGCTACTCACTCTCGGAGAGTTGATTCTCGTCGGCAAGCTATAGAAAATCTTTTACAAGCGCAGTCCACCAACACGCCGCCTAGGCAGCGCAGGCGAGAAGGTCAACCCTCGTAGACCAACAAGGAGGTCAATCAGCGTTGCCAACAAGACCAACCAGCAACATGTGCGAAGGACGTAGAGAAGCGTGTGAATGGTTACTTCGAGACTTGAGGACCGGCGGGTATTTCGAAGATGTACTACATAAGGAAATCGACCAGGCAAACTCCACACCTTTCACTACCAAAATCGAGCAGGCTGCTCACCCGAAGCGATTCTCAACGCCTTCGTTTACACACTTCAAAGGGGATTCCGATCTCGAGAGCCACCTAAAACACTTTAAAAGTGTCATGATCCTCCACAAGACCGACGACGCGCTGATGTGCAAAGCATTTGTAATGACCTTGCGAGGACCAGTACAACTTGCGCAGGAAGTTTGACGAATCTCTTCGAGATTACATCAAGAGATTTAAAGCAAAAAAAGTCAACATTGCAGGATGTGATGACCGAATCTCATCATCTGCCTTCAAGAAAGGTCTTCCAGCTGAACACGACTTGTACCGCGAGCTGACTATCACTTCCAGCCAGACTCTGGCAGAGGTTTACGCGACTGTGGAATGCTACGCGCTCTGGGATGACGATCGAATCGCCGCAAAGAAGTGTACAAAGCAGGAAGATCAGTCGACTAAACGGGCAAGCCAAAAAAGCGATGGATTTAGCAACAAGAACAAGGACAAGCACAGGTCACACCCACAAAAGAACGCTAAGGCAGGAGAGGACTACACCAAGTTCACCATCCTCATACACCAAATCTTAGCCTAAGTGAAAGACAAACCTTAGGTTAAGAAGGCCGCAACCCTTGAAAGGAGATCCGGACAAGAGGGATATTAGCAAATACTGTGCCTTCCATGGGACGCACGGACACACTACGAACAACTCTTCGCTTGGAAAATGCACTTTGAAGAACTTGTGAGAGAAGGTCACTGCACAGAATTCATCGCAAAGCAGGTCATCCAGCATATTGAAAATAGAGACACCGCCAAGGAACCGCCCCAGAAGGTCATAAGGATTAACACAATCCTAGCTCACACCAAGGAGTCAGGACTGGCCAGCAAGGAAAAGAAGAGGAAGATCAAACATGCCACCATGATCTCCCAAATCTCGACTGACCTTCCACTAGCAGAAGACGATCCTGTATTCGGCTTTCAAAAGAAAGATCTGATCGATCTCGACATAATGACGCCCTTGTCATCAGCATTCAAATCGCTCAGGCCATGGTCGACCGAATCCATGCAGACGAGGGCAGCGCAGCCAATATCCTACAACTGGTAGTCATCCAGCAGATGGGCTTGGAGACAAAGATTAAAAAATCAGCAAGATTGCTGACCGGCTTTAATGATGCAACAACGGTTACCGTGGGCACGATAGACCTCGACGTCTACTCCCCGCTTGTAGTCAGCCTGCAAACATTCATGGTCATTGATGAAGTCTCACCCTACAACCACATTCTGGGCAGACCATGGATTGTCAAGATTAACGCCATCACCTCCGCCACACATCAGAAAATTCGATACCCAATTCCTAGAGGCGGTATCGGCCAAATCAACAGCGATCAAGTAATGGCGAGGAAATGCTCCGTCCAAGGGTTGAAGAAAAGCAAATAAGCACAGTTCCTCCCTGTGAGCCAGGCATATCTAAAGGAGGTTGAATAACCGAATCTTGCTCCCTTACAACAATCAAAGCGTCAGGACCAAGCCGAAGAAATCTGTCCAAAGGTCTTTCCTGAAGAAGGATGGAAACTCGAGGAGGACGTCAAGTTAATACCCTTGGATCCTAACCAGCCAGATAAAAAATGCGGATCGGCTCGCGCCTAAGCCCAGACGAGAAGGTGGAGCTAACCACCTTCCTCCAGAACAACAAAGACATGTTCACATGGTCGCCGTCAGACATGCCTGGCATCGACCCGAACATCATCTGTCACCGACTCCATGTCAACCTTACTTGTAAGCCAGTGGCACAGAAGAGACGCAACTTCGCAACTGAGCGAGTCACTATCATCGAAGCGAGATTGACAAACTCCTAGCTACCGACTTCATCAAAGAGGTCTTCTACTCAGAGTGGTTTGCCAACGTTATTCTGGTGACAAAACAAGAGAAGGGCAAGTGGAGAGTCTGCGTCGATTACACTGACCTCAATAAAGCATGCCCAAAAGACAACTTCCCATTGCCGAGAATCAACCAACTCGTGGATTCCACTTTTGGCAATCTCCTGCACAGCTACATGTGCACCTACTCTGGCTATAACCAAATCTTGATGCACGAGGATGACAAGGCAAAAACTTCTTTCATCATCAAGAGAAGGACCTACTACTACAAGGTCATGCCTTTTGGGCTAAAGAACGCTGGAGCAACCTACCAAAGACTCGTGAATAAAATCTTCAAGGAGCATATCGGTAAAACTATGGAGGTCTACGTGGACGACATACTGGTCAAAACCCCAAAACGTGCAGATCACATCAAAAATCTCGCTGAGGCATTCAGCCTGCTCCTCCAGTATCGCATGAAGTTGAATCCAAGTAAATGCACATTTGGTGTATCCTCCGGCCAATTCTTGGGATACCTAGTCACGCAACGAGGTATCGAGGCACACCCACGTCAAATCAAAGCTATTCTCGAGATGAAGTCGCCTCCACGGTTAATGACATACAAAGTTTGACGGGCAGAGCAGTGACCCTTAACCGATTCCTCTCAAGATCAACCGACAAGTGTAAACCATTCTTCAAAACTTTAAAGAAAGGACAAAGAGACAAATGGGATGAGGAGTGCGAAGTAGCTTTCCAAAATTTGAAGACTTACCTCACCTCACCTCCCCTGCTCTCAAAGCCAGTCCTGGTGAGGACTTGTTCGCGTACCTGGCACTGTCCAACTAAGCTGTCAGCTCAGCTTTCATTCGAGAAGAGCTGGGGGCCCAACATTCGGTATTCTACACATCAAAAGCTCTTCTTGATGCAGAAACTCGCTACCCGAAATTGGAGAAGCTCATTTTAGCCCTTGTAGTTTTCGCGAGAAAGCTGTGACCCTACTACCAAGCTCATCGAGTCATCGTTATGATCGACTTTCCTTTGAGATCAATCCTCAACAGCCCTGAGACTTCTCAGCAACTTATGAAGTGGGCTATAGATCTAAGCCAATATGACCTCTTCTACTGGCTAAAAGCTGTAATAAAAGCCCAAGCAACAAAAAGAAGGAAAGTTCAAAAGCAGACGGAACCTCTATTGCACCTAGCCAACCCAAAGACATGTGGTAGTTGCTCGTAGATGGAACGTCGAACCAAAAAAGAGCTAGCGCAGGTGTCATCATCATCACCTCATATGGAACCCTGTTGGAGCAAGCTATCACGCTCAGTTTCCCGACCTCGAACAACGAGACAGAATACGAGGTGTTGCTCGCCGGCCTGCACTTGACAAAGTAGCTTGCTTGGGTGATATTGTACCTTGACAAAATTCAAGAGCTATTGAAGGAGTTTCCTACCATCCAACAAGTACCTCGGGCAGAGAACGCGCATGCAGACGCACTGGCCAGCCTAAGGTCAGCACTGGATACCCTGTTCAGACGCTCCATCTCGGTCGAACACCTTGACCAACCAAGCATTGAGGAAATAGAGCCAATCAGCTCAATGCAAATTGACGAGGACCCCAGCTGGCAAAACCCCATTATCAATTACTTAGTGAATGCAAACCTGCCAACAGACAAGTCTGAAGCTAGGAAGGTCCAGCAGAAGGCCGCGAGACACTACGTGCACGGCAACAAGCTCATCTGCAAATAATACTCTGGCCCTCATCTTACCTGTATAAAGTACCCTCAAACATTTGAGGTTCTTTCCAAAATTCACGATGGCGAGTATGGGAACCACTCTGGGGGCAAATCGCTCTCCTAGAAGGCTCTAAACATAAGCTAATTATGGCCTACCATACGTCATGACTCCATCGAATATGTCAAGAAATGTGATTGCTGCCATCGATGCAAGCCGATCCCTATCTTGCCTGCCGAAGTCTACCATTCTCAAAACAGTCCATGGCCATTCATGCAATAGCCATTGACTTAGTAGGTTTCTTGCCACCAGTGCTCGCTAAGAATGACATGATGATCGTCGCCACAGATTACTTTACTAAATGGATCGAGGCCGAAGCTCTATCCTATATTAAAGAAGCCGATGTGGAACGATTCATTTGGAGAAACATCATCTGTCGGTTTGGCTGCCTACAATCGCTGGTTGACGACAACGACTCACAGTTCATTGTCAGGTAGGTCACTATAAAACCCAACAGTTGCCCATAAGTAGCGTCCTTCGGGAACGCAGGGCAACGACCAGAAGCGTCCTTAGGGAGACACAGGGTGCCCCAGGAATTTCCTAAGGGAGATATCCAGGTCCCTATTCGTTTCCTAAGAGAGGCATGATAGCCATATAGTTGCTCATAAGGAGCATCCTAAGGGAGATGCAGGGCGACGACCAGAAGCATCCTTCTGGAGACGCAGACCGTAAAAAGCGTCCTAAGGGAGAAGCAGGGTGCGCCAGGAATTTCTTAAAAAGAGGTATTCATGCCTCTTATGGGAAGTATCCAGATTCCTATCCTTTTCCTAAGGGAGGCAGGAGAGTCACACAGTTGCCCATAAAAAGCGTCCTAAGGGAGACGCAGGGCGACGACCAGAAGCTTCCTTCAGGAGACGCAACCCGTAAAAAGCGTCCTAAGGGAGATGCAGGGTGTGCTAGGAATTTCTTAACATGAGGTCTCCATGCCTCCTACGGAAAGTATCCAGATTCCTATCCGTTTCCTAAGGGAGGCAGGATAGTCACACAGTTGCCCATAAGCAGCGTCCTTCGGGAGATGCAGGGTGACGACCAAGGCATCCTACGGGATGCGCAAAACACGCCTGGAGCCCCTTAAAGGGGCCCTGGCACTCGCCAACTTCCTAAGGAGAACCATCCTAAGGGATGTGCAGAACACGCCTGGAGCCCCTTAAGGGAGCCCTGGCACTCGCCAATTTCCTAAGAGGAACCATCATAAGGGATATGCAAAACACGCCCGGAGTCCTCCAAGGGGGACCCTGGCACTCATGAATCACCAAAGGGAGATGTGAAATCAAGGCACAGGCTGGTTACTTAAGCAGTTCACAAATCAATACGCAAATTGAAGTGAAAAATAAACTAAAATTTCCATAACAAGCTGACTAATCAGCCAAGTTCAACAAAGAGAAGATGGTCAAACAAGACCAATTATTCTAAACGAGAAAGCAGACTACAAAAGCTGAAAAGAAATAAAGAAGTATTCATCTACTCCGAGACGCCAGTAGGAGATCCCTGATCTTTAGCACCTTTGGCGTCCACCTGATCAGCCATGTTCTCAACAACTCCACTTGCCTGATCCACGATGTTTGTCACTACCTCATCTGCTGCATCCTCCTCTGCTTCATCCTCTTCAGCTACCTCTTCAGCTACCGCCTCTTCGACCGCCTGCTCTTTAGCTCCTTCCATGCTCACAACATTAACCTGCTCACTCTGCATAGGGAGCAAGTCAAAACAGAGCATCTCGATGTCTCCATATCTAATGGCATAGAAAGGATTATTTCCAATTGAGCAATCCAAATAGCCCAGCTTGTACGCATTCATAGTAGCTTTGAATTTGGACTTTTCAACATACTTATGATATGCGCTAAATCTAGCCAGAAGCTTGTCATAACTAAAGGAGACGTCAGCACTCTTGTGCTCAAAACGGAAGTAGGCATCTTTTCGATTAACCAAGTCAGCAGTAGAAGAAGGGGCAACAGCAGACGAGTTTTAGATAGTTTCAGCAACAAGAACCACTCCTTTTTGAAGCAAATGAAATGTTGCTTCCCTTTGTTTTTCCAAGGAAAGGCTCGAGAATGTGCCAAGATCTCCGTCCTGAAAGATGTGATCGACCAACTCAACACAAAAGGACAAGTTTGATAGGAAGTCCCTCTTGAGCATATCAGACACGCATGCATCCCTTACAGGGCTAGACCTGTTCGACTTCAGATCAACCGCCGACGTTGAAGAATAACCATTCGCCCTGGTAGATAACGCTCTCATCTTCTTAGCCTCTGCCAACCTCACTTCTAAAGGAGTCAATGATACTGAATCAATTCCACGCTTGACTACGCGTGACTCAATAGCTGGATCATGAGTAGACCTCCCGCTTCGATCTCCATCTTTTGACCTATGCAAACGACTCGAACTTCGAGGAGTAATGTCTGCATCTCTTTGACGCTCGACAGAACTAGATCAGGCACGAGCTGCCTCACAAAGTATATCATGGTTTTCAAGCTTGTCTGCAGGAGGCTGGGGCATAACACAGCAAACACCGCACATACCACCAACCTTCGTGCTATCTGCGACAATGAGATGTTTAGCCCTGGCAGATGATGATAGAGCATACCCCACTTGAGTCTTCTCAGCATAAGGGAACCTTGGCTTCTTTCTCAATGGAGACACATTCTCTACCTGTGAAGGAGTAGCTTCATCTCTTTAAGACTTGGCAGCAGCCTTTCTCTTTAGGGGAGATTCAGCAGAACACTCCTCATGCCCAACTGGCAGATCATTAGAATCTAGACCATTCTACTCCCATCTCTCAACATCCTGAGCAGGG